CACCAGCAGTCATCACCCAGATAAGCAGAGATTAACACCAAGATTATCACCAGACATACAATCAAGCAGTAAACTAATCAAGGAACTACGGGGGACCGGGGGGGGGGAATCCACCCACCCACCCTGGCAGGGCAAGCCAATATTATAAACAGAGAGCAAACCCCACTCCATTCTAGCACTGAAGATGTTACCTGGCCAGGTAACGAAACGTTTACAAGAAAATAACTAAGCTCAGAGAACCCCAAGGACTCCTGTAATTTTTCTAGTAAACAGTTATCTTCAACTATATCCCACCTAACCAGAGAGGCTTGCCACACTTCCCTAAGAGAACCTCTGTCCCGGGAGATTGTGGACTCAGTGCTTTTGGCATCCATCTCCTTGCAATCCTTAAAAGGCCAATGGCTGGATTGCTGCACATTCTCCTAGATCTCCTTACCTTTAGGGGACCTGCCCAGTCCAGTTCTTTGGTCTCCTTCAGCCCCAGTGGAATCATGGGGACGCTAATAGAGTCACTAAGAGAGAGAGAGAGACAGTGAGGAGGATGAGATCAAATATTGGGGGACCACAGGCCAAATTACTTTCAGCTACCCCACTCCCTTGATGTGCTCAGCTCAATGACAAGTCCTTCAGAAGATGTGACTGGGGCCTTCACTGTCCCAAAACAATGATGACTGCTTTGGGGAGGGGCAGAGGAAGAGAGAGGACTCCTCTCAGAAGCCAGCAATGAACAGAAAAGTGACAGACCAAGTCAGCAGCTCCTGTCTGGTTGCCCACAGGAAACAAAATGACATTCCTAAATCAAGGAGATTCATTTCATGATGAAGAACCAACCAACTTATGTTCCTTCTATCCACACTTAATGACAAACAAGAGCAGAGCAAAAATATCTATATATCTGAATGCCAGGTGATCATAAACAACGAAGGAAGGGTTAATTTTTCCTAAAGGAAAACAGCAATGAGAGCCTAGGAAAAAGAAGTGGTTCAATCGTTCAGCAGGATCTTGTTTGTGCAGGCTGTGATGATCATCCCTGGAATAACAAGATCTGCTGAGACCTGGCCTGTGGAAATGTCCCTCCCTCATCCTCCCTGTACCCACATACTCCTCCCCACATAAGCCACCACTGGAAACTACTTAGTCTCTGGTGGTAGGCTGCAAGTTTGCGTGGCCTGTATTTGCAGCCACTTTAAAAGCTTCTCATGACCACATGAGGGAGAAAGGTCAGGGAAAGCACCGTCTGAAGATTGCTTACTGCAACTTCATATTGCAATTCTATTGAAGAGTCATCGTTCAGAACACAGCCAATTAACAGCTGATCTGGTCAATGACCTTGGTTTTTGTTCTGGAACATGTAAGAATTCCTTAGTGGATGAGTCAATTTGGAAAATTTGCCAGGGATTTTGAAAGCCATGAAGTCTGCTGGGACAATTCCAGTTCTCTTTGCTTCAGAGAACTAGGTTTTCCAAGAGAACTATACTTTTTTGTTTATTTCTCAGGAAGAAGGAAGATAACTCAGCAACAGAGCACCTGATTTGCTTGTAGAAGGTCCAAGATTCAATTCCAGAGATCTCCAGTTAAAAAGGAAAAGGAACAAGAGGTGGTAACTCAATTCTCTAATCTAGCAGAGGGCAACTCCATATGTATGTTCCCAACCCCTGAAGCCCACCTCCAGAGGCCTCCCTCCCCAAGCCGGCAGCTGCCATTCACCTTACCTATCATTCTGGTAGACCTCCATGCAACTGTTCAACTCTTCCAATTCCTCCTTTAGCAGCTGCAGGTTAGAGTTGACATAGCTGAGTTCCAAAGCAACAGTTTCCTTTACTTTGTGATTACTAGTGGCCCTTATACCAAAACAAAAGGGGGAAAAAAACTTACTATGCCTGTCGTCTACACAGCTGAGAGATCTTGTTTTATCTTTACAACAACCCTATGATGCAGTCTATGTAGAAGAGAGTAATAGTCCAACATCCATCCAGGGAGATTAAAGCAATCTTCTTAACCTGTTACCACACAGATATGTTAAAAACACAACTCTTGGAACTTCCAGCTAAGAGCTGAGCTCCCACCACTTCCAAAGAGCACTGTTCAGTGGGCATCTAGATCAAGCCTACATCTTTCTAACCACTATTTCATGCTGTTTCTCATATTTGCAAATGTCAAGTCTGGTTAAAGTTCTTAATTCAAGAGACAGCTATCTTCACCTCCCGTGGGACAGGATTTCTGGAACACAAAACAGCACCTATTAGTGTGAGAAGGTGTGTAAGGATTCCAGATACACAGAGGAACAGTTCACACGTCCGCTCCATGCTGGTAAGATTTAGGGGAGGTTGGCGTCACTCCTATATCAGCTTCCCAGGTGCTTCTTAATTACAGTACTTGCAGACTCCTCCACAGATTTTTTCCAATTCTAGACATATTAACTATCTGCACTTCCGTGCCTTTTCCAATCTCCTTTCCACACTCCTTCAGTTTTTAATGGCTCATTTAATAAGGGCAAGACAGCCTTTCTGCTCCTCCACCACCACTTGTTTTCTCACCTTATGCAATCTCAGCAATCTTGTTTTGACAGGTCCTGGGCTGGAAAATAGAATAGAGGAGCTTCACAGCCCAGTGTCACAGGAGTGGGAGGCACTCAGGAAACTGCAAGTCCCAACGCTTGGCATTTCCATTCATGCTGAGTCAAAGGAATCAGTGTCATGCCATTGACGGAGATAAAACACCAGCGGATGTGGACGTGTTACAAAATTGTGGCATGGAGGACTCCAAGAAAGAGAGCTTGCCTTCTCCTTGGTAGCCTTCCTCAACTTGCTGCCCTCCAGATGTGTTGGAACAATAATTCCCAGCCCAATATATGTGGCTGGATCATGTGAATAGTGTGCCCAACCCATGGAGAAGCAGAAGGTCACATCAGCCTGGCTTCCAATGTCAGGCCCACCAAAAGGGTCCTAATTTTTCCACCTAAATGACTTCCACCTAGTCACCCCCTTCTCCATCTCTGTTCAAAAATGGCTACCACTGGCCTCATCTTTGATTCATTCCTTTCTTCTACGACCCAATGGGACCATGACACCTTCTCCGACTCGGTGCCTTCAAGTTCCAACCTTTGCCCTCAAGACTCATGGCTAAAATGTTGACTTGTGACAGGTTGTTTATCATCTAGTTTACTGCCACTCTGTCTGCTGTATTTGAATATACTCGGAGATTTGTTTTACAATTTGTTTTACATTTGTTTTTCAAAGAAGGAGTTCTGCATACATTTGGCATGGTACAGCTGAGGAGAGGATTATACCACTTGACCTTCTGGAATATCTGCACTGGGTCTTCCAAACCTTAAAGCAACTACCTCCTCTCCCTCTTCCTGCTCACCGTAGCTATACCAGGCCTCTCGTTAATTCCTAAAAACATTTCTGACCCCCGTCCCCAATGCCAGTCTCCAGCAGTCATTCCTGGTTATTAAACAGAAGCTTCTTAAGAAGCATTTCGCAGCTAAATAGGGCTCAGTCTGAACTACCGAACTGGTTGAGGCCTCCCTGGTTTGTGTACCACAATTTAACAAATAGATAAATAACTGCAGACTTTTAGTTGCAATGCTAAAAAGTAGGTTTTAGGAGAACTGTTCAGGATTTTTAAAAAATTAACATAACTATTTCAAGTTTTGCATTATTTGAGCAACCAGTTCTACAACAAATGAATACATTCTTTTTTTTTCCTTTTGCTGCTAGATTTCCTACTGCAAAACACGGCAAAACTATCATACAAGCAATCGTGAGATATGCAAAGGTTTTGTTCCAGATTTTTATGCCTGCTAGATCACATGCCAGGTACACCCCCACCCCCTTTCTACCTAATGCGCAAGGTACAGTGTGCATAACCTGGAGACTGCCTGTATACCTTTTTTTGGAATTGTATATAATACAATTATATAAAACTGTCAGAAACTGCATTGGTTGAGAAATTAGCACAACAGCAATGAATCTTGAAAAACCCGCCAATGAAGACATTTATATAAATGTTTTTTTTGGGGGGGTTTTTTGCATAGACCTATCCAGAAAGGATGTTCTGAATGTTTAAAACCAACATCTCCCTTCTTCTGAATGTGTGTATGCCCACGTGTGGGCGTTGTATGTGTCTATCAATGTTTTTCTTTCCTCCCCTTATTAGTTTCTGAGGACTGAGCGACTACTGAGACTACTGAATGCTGAGCATCGGACAGAAACCAGCAGGTGAGATGGTAATTTAGCTAGAACTTTTACGTTTTCTGCTCTTAAAGCAAGCAAACCAATACATGCTTACTTCTTTGGGTAACTTGTCTCAAAGAAGGAACCATGGTTATTAATAGTAGTATTAGCATTAGCCTTTATGATGCTAATTTGGGTCATGCAAACCTGAATAGGTTCTCTGCGCCTGTTCTCATCCTCATCTCTTTGTTGATTTGCTGGTTGATTCGTGCACGGCGGTGTTGTAGCTTCGTGCGTTGTGTCTGGGCCAAGGAATCACAGCCCTGCCAATAAAGAAGTTCAAGTGAAAAAACCCTGCTAAGGGGAGATCTCCTTAGCTTGGAGAAGGCTGATCTAAAAGGCAGAAATTAGTGGTGGTTTTCAAACATTTGAAATGTTGGACTCATTTTCATATCTCACCAACGGGATCTTTCAAGCACAAGTTAAATTAAAATCATGGCTAATACTTATCTGGCACTTTCCAAAGTGTGTTAGGTGGTTCACACATACATTACTGTAGTATTGCGTACCTATTTATACAGCAGATGAAAAAAAAAATTATTTATACAGCAATCTTGCTAGAATGAATTTACTTGGCAAGACTGATTTCAGATTTGGGAGTAATACACGTGGTTATCCCAACCTTAAGGATATTTTCTTACAATTTTCCCCAAAATTCCAGTGTAACTTACTCTCAAGGAAGAGTATTTAAGATTTTAATATTAGAGAGCTGGTTTCAAAGTCATCAGTTGACTTCCCAGCTTAATTTCTAGAAAATACATTTACTAGTTTTTCAAATCTCTCCAAATTTTATGGAAGTGAAAACAACCCTCCCCCACTTCAAATCAAAACTATAACACTCTGTTGAAGTATTTCCAATCCTCTTTTAAATGATTATCTTGAGCCCAAGACTGAAATTCAACAAGTTTTACTTGAGAGTAATTACTGTTGAACTCAACAGAACATTTTTCCAATAAAACATGCATCAAGGAAAAAAATGTTCAAAAACATTCCTAAGTATTGGGTACAGCAAAGGAATTGAGGGAAGATGCAAATGCATTGTTAAATAATCCCACTGAAGAAAGAAGTCTAGTTTTTCCAAGATGTGATGTGAGAGCAATGGGGCTACTCATCTGGGGGGAAACCAGTCTTATTGTAAGGAGAAACAATTCCTGTAAATGGTGAACGGAGCTCTCAGATTCTCCAGGCATGGGAAGAAAGGGCCCTTTGAGAGTGAGGGGTGAGTCAGCAAGAAAGAACACCCTGGGATGACCTTCAGATAAAGCCCGTTTTCCTTCCACCGGGACAGAGAATGAGCCCCCAGCCTTAGCAACCAAGAGTGCAAGTATGTCAGAATTCCTTTAGGCTAGAGTCTCCCCGCCCGCCCCCAAATTCCCCATTTTGTTTAGCAAACTGGGTACAAAAGAGAAGAGGACATTCCATTCTGCTGAAGTCCACAGCGAAGTTCACTTTCTCAGCTCAGATCTATACCACCCTTCTGCAACTGCATGATCATCAGGTGTGTTGGGGCTACAACTCTCGCAACAAGCCAGCATGGCCGGTATATCCTCAACCTGGTTAGCAGCAGAGTTAAGAAAAGGGAAGCTAATCTAGGGGACAGTTCCTCAATTCATCCTAGGCACAAAAAATGGGTCCACAAAAAGTTCTAGCCCAAGTTTAACCATCTCCACTTTTTCATATGCATCTCTGGATCAAGTATGGGCAACCTGGAGAAGATCGCATAAATACTTGGCTAGTAACTTTTTTATTTAGTGTGATTTTGGGGCTGACTAACTCCTTAACATACGAATGTAAGCCGTGCCCTGCTGGATTGGACTCCTGGCCTATCTAGTTTGCAGTTCTCACAGTAGCCAACCAAGGAGGACCACCAGTCTCCCAGAAGATGGCCTTCAGAGTTGATCCTGCTGCCATCAAGGCTAAGATCCCCAGGACTTCCATGAATTGGTCCAACTCTTTTTTGAAGCCAGCCAAGGTGTAGCCAGCACCATGTCTCATGATAAACTTTTAGTCCATTTTCAAACCACCTAGGAAAATATATCCCCAGTCCCACCATTTTCCATGTCAAAGACGGAAAACATATTTGGAGACACCTTAGTCTTCTTCTGAAACATGCAAGCCTACCCTTCTTCCAAGTGGTGCCCTTCTGATGGGTAGGACTTCAACTCCCAGAACCAGACTCCAGCTGGCTAGGGATTCAGGGAGTTGAGGTCCATCACACCTGTAAGACACCAGGTTGGGAGAAGGCTATCCAAATCCATAAGCTGACCCTTACAACTTTTTTCTACACAGCTGGATGGGTGTGGCTGTATTTAGATTTGCTAAAGAGAGAGGCTCTTTCTGCTGACAAAGAACACCCTGAAGTTGTTATCATCAGTGATTACACAAGCGTAAGGCTTTTTTTTGTTTGTTTGTTTTGGCTGCTCCTTCTGATCTTGCATCCAAATGTAACAAGGTGCATTATCAGTCAAATTCCTTAAGTCAGGAACAAGCAGGAAAGAAAACACACACACACATTCCCATCACACAGTTCCCTACCCAGGTAAGCAATATTTTGCAGAATGTGGGAAAGGAGTATGGAATAGTAAGCCAAAGAAATTAAAGGCATGAGAGAAGACAGGAAAAAAAGGAAACAGAATTAACAGAAGAGAACATCTGTAGCTCAAGGTTGACTTGTGGAGTCCTTGGTGCTCTGTAACCTTGGTTGTTTGCTTGCAGATGTTTCATTATGGAACCCAACTAGGTAACATCATCAGGGAACCTCACATGATCACCCTGATGATGTTACCTACTTGGGTAATGAAATGTCTGCAAGCAACCAAGCTCAGAGAGCACCTACAACTCCACAAAGTTAAGCCCAATTTACACCAACACTATTCACAATGCCACATCTTGGTAGGCCCCCTGAGAGGACCTCGGAGCAAAAGAGTAACAACCTAAACCCCAAACCCCACCAGGGATTTCAATGGTCCTCTGCATTTGCACTGCCCTGTATCTTCTCTCGCAAGGCACTAAGATAAGAAGAAATATGGAAGGCAAACTATTATTCTGATAGGCCTCTGGGTGAAGAAGATGGGACTCTCTGATCCTTCTGCTCCAATTTTCTTGTGGTCTGGGTTGGCTTGGGTTGGGGGAAAAATACTGGTAGGGATATGCATTAAGATGTGTGGACTTCAACTCCCAGAATTCCCCAGCCAGCAAGGCTGGCTGGGGAATTCTGGGAGTTGAAGTCCACACATCTTAGACCTGCTGATGACTGGTAAATTTCCTGCATTTGGGTATTATTTATGCTATGTATCAGCAGAGGAGTTAATGTTTGGTCTCGTTTTACCAAGGATGTAAAAAGCAGGTGCAGGAATTTATGAAATATGCTAACACATTCTTAACCTCGGCAGCATTCAGATGTGTGGACTTCAACTCCCAGAATTCCCCAGCCAGCAAGGCTGGCTGGGGAATTCTGGGAGTTGAAGTCCACACATCTGAATGCTGCCAAGGTTAAGAATGTGTTAGCATATTTCATAAATTTCTGCACCTGCTTTTTACATCATTGGTAAAAGGAGACCAAAAATTAACTCCTTTGCTGATACATAGCATAAATAATACCCAAATGCAGGAAATTTACCAGTCATCAGCAGGTCTTTGTTACCTAAGGGACACTGACCCTGGATATTTGTGGCCTATGACAAACTAGGATGAGAGGGCCGCTTAATGATGGTGAGGCCACTCCAAGCCAAAACGAAACCATATCCGGAGATCTAACGCCTTACAGGGAGGAGGAGGAAATCTGGGGTTGGCTTAAAGCCACATTCCCATAATCGCTGAATGAGCGCTGGCTGGGGATTTACAGGGGTTGAAATTCAAAACATCTGGAGAAGACCAGCTTCAAGTACAGTGAGCAGCGAGAGGATGGACGTTGTGGATGGAGCTTCTTCCTGTAACGGAAGTGTATGGCTTGTGGCAATATGACGACAACCGATCAGGGGAAAATAAAGGAGAGAGTGAAATTCTTAGGTGTAAGAAGTACCAGGTGCCTTCTTCCAAATTCTCTTCTCTGTTAGCGCCTTTTGTGATCTTTGGAAGAAGGTGAGAAAACCACATGTATACATATGCTGCATACCCCGTGAGGGACTACAACTTGGGCTGAAACTGTCCCAGGGCCTAAACTTGGTTAATTTTAAACCTGGTTGATCTTCTTGTGGCTTTCAATCCATCTTACCTGCAGAGCTCAATGTGTTGGGTCCCAGAAAATGGGTCAATTTAGTCACCACGTTTTGCCCACCCAACTGAATAGGGTGATCCTATCTCCTTGAGCTGTCTTGTCTCAAGGCTCCACGTCCCCAGCTCCTTCCATCTCTCTTCCTAGGATCCGGTTTCTACTCCTGAACTTATCCTAGTTTCTCTGAATATTTTGGAAAATGTAGTCTCCAGAAGGGGACGTAACACTCCGTCGGAGAACTGAACAATACTGATAGGCTGAAACTCTCACAAGCTGTATTTCTACGGATCCAGCCTAAAACTGAGTTACAACACACGGCTGTTTTGCATTTGGCTTGAGATCAACTAAGTTGATTAAGTGTTTCTTTACTTACTACGCTTTTCTATCACTGCCACGTTCAATAAAACAACAGAGCAGGGCAAAACCCAACATCTGCTAAAACACGACTGTTAAAAAATATATTACAACTACTACAAATAGGTGCTCCCCAACCAGATCTTGACTCCCAAATACTCTTCTGCATACTTCTGCTAGCAAGGCTGCCATCTGGATGGGCGCCCCTACTATAAAATGCTGGCTTGAACACTTTGCTGAATGACGGGTGGGCAACGCTGCCCCCAGCCCCATTTTGTACCCACTGAAGTGTGGTTCGCAAAGACTCATTGTTGTCTCCAATTAGATCAGTGTTTTTCAAACCTGGCAACTTTAAGATGGGTGGACTTCAACTCCCAGAATCCCCCAGCAAGCCATGCGGGCT